TCCCCTTCCCCAAACCCACTCAACCCTTCCCAGTAGGTAATTTTTCCCAGAGCGAGCCAGCGTCTCCGGCACTCTCAGCTGACCACAATACCAAGATTTCTCTCTCTCTCTCTCTCTCTCTCTCTCTCTCTCTCTCTCTCTCTCCCTCTCTCTCTCTTTAAACAAGTGAACAGACATGAACACAATGTCGGTTGCTATATTTAGATAAATTACACCGAAGCGACATGTTATTATTTTTTTATGATCGCTTTAATTTCTTTTGGTTCTCTTAAACGTTTCTTCAAATACGATCTCTTAGTCCTCAGTCTCTCCTCCTCAATGATTCTCCAAGAGTTTGACGTGACGAGTTCGACGAGAATGTTTGCACTCAGAGAACGACTTGGGTTTTAGAGTGTGTGAAGGAGAAGGAAGAGGAGAGGAGGAGGGAGATAGGGGGTGAGGTGAGGAGGAAGGAAGGAAGGAGAGAGCGAGAGAGAGGGGGAGGGGGAGGAAGAGGGAGAGAGAGAAAGAGGGGGTCTGGGAGGAAGGGAGAGACGGAGGGAGAAGAAGAGAGAGGGAGGGGAAGGCAGAGGCAAGAAGAGGAGGGGGGAGGGGATACAGAGAGAGAGATAGGAGAGGGAGGGAGGATGGATGGATGGATGGAGGGAAGGAGGGAAGGAGGAGAGGAGAGAGGGAGAGGAGAGAGAGAGAGGAGGGGGGGAGGGGGAAGAAGAGGAGAGAGAGAAAGAGGGGGTCAGGGAGGAAGGAGAGGGACGGAGGGAGGAAGAGAGAAGAGGAGGGAGGGGGAGAGCAGAGGAAGAGAGGAGGGGGGAGGGGATACAGAGAGAGAGATAGGGAGAGGAGGGAGGGATGGATGGATGGAGGGAAGGAGGGAAGGAGGGAGGAGGAGAGAGGGAGAGGGAGAGAGAGAGAGGGGGGGAGGGGGGAGGGGAAGAAGAGGGAGAGAGAGAAAGAGGGGGTCAGGGAGGAAGGAGAGGGACGGAGGAGGAAGAGAGAGAGAGGGAGGGAGGGGAGAGGCAGAGGAAGAGAGGAGGGGAGGATACAGAGAGAGAGAGATAGGGAGAGGGAGGGAGGATGGATGGATGGAGGGAAGGAGGGAAGGAGGGAGGGAGGGAGAGAGGGAGAGAGAGAGGGGGAGGGGGAGGGAAGAAGAGGGAGAGAGAGAAAGAGGGGGGTCAGGGAGGAAGGGAGAGGACGGAGGGAGGAAGAGAGAGAGAGGGAGGGAGGGGGAGAGGCAGAGGAAGAGAGGAGGGGGGGGATACAGAGAGAGAGAGATAGGGAGAGGAGGAGGGAGGGAAGGAGGGAAGGAGGAAGGAGGGAGAGAGGAAGAGAGAGAGGAGAGGGAGAGGGAGAGGAGAGAGAGGGAGAGGAGAGGAGAGGAGAGAGAGGGAGAGGGAGAGAGAGAGAGAGAGAAGAGAGAGAGGAGAGAGAGAGAGAGAGAGAGAGAGAGAGAGAGAGAGAGAGAGAGAGAGAGAGAGAGAGAGAGAGAGACCGTAGGAAGGAAAAGCAAAAGATTAAACTTAATTACGAAACCTGTCAGCAAACAAATGGTGTTTTTGTGCAATCGATGAAAAGAACGCTTTTGTACATCGCGGTGAGTCTCGAGGTATAACAGCTGTTCCTGGGTTTGCCAGTGTTACGTCACTCTCGCACACGCCATATGATCTGCTGTACAGGACGGCAACAAAGCGGACTCATGGCTGCCAACATGTGCCAGTTGCACAATGTTGCGGAGGCGGAAAACACGAACAGCAAAGCCCTCTCTTCGCCTTTGTCTGTTTTCCAAGAACGATCAGACAGTTCATGAAGTAACTTGTCACTTAATTAAACTTGAATTATAACTTCTACGGACGATTTCAGTGCGTGGTTAATCATATGCGTGTATCAATTATCCGTGCAACTTGAATAAACAAACAAACAAACATAATAACATTTTTACTTTTTTCTCTGGATTAATCTAATGTTGATTCCAAATATAATATAAAAAATTAACAGGATGTTTATCCACAAGGCTACAAGCAACTAAAAATAAAATCAACAAAACTGTTAGTAGGAACATGCGTAAACAAAGATATACGTATGAGCACAGCAATACCCTTTGTCAACAAAGAAGTAGCTCGCACATATACGAAAACAGTTAAAAATACTAAGTACAAAGACTCCTTTAATAATAGCAAGCTGAACTGTATGACCGACTGTGCAACTGCATAACTAATGATCACTTGCATAGTTATTAACCTGTGACGATCAACTAAACATGGAAAAACTAAAATCGCACACAAGGAGACACGTAAGAAACACACACATTTCACTCAAGTTAGAAAACAAAATCGGAAAATCAAGCTTAGTATCGTTAAAGACCCAAGACAAAGGATAAAATAATAAGTAATAACATACTTAAACTGTTGTTTTCTTTTGCGTCATTGCACCTGTTCACCACCTTGATGACTGCCCGACCAGCCATCCGCGTTTGAACGACCTGGGACTGTCGCAGAATCGTGTTTGTCAAGTCGTTTCCGAACTTTGGCTTCATCTTCTCTGATATTAAGTTCTTGGTTCACAAAGACTATTCACTCTAGTCGAGGTTCGTAGACTACCCGCTCCAACAATGTTTTGCTTGTTAATGCGAGTTCGTTCTCGGTTTTATACGAAGCGCTGCGCATGGCAACTCGCTCATGATTTGTTGTTGTGCTCAAAGTATCGTACCGCGCAGTGCTCAAGTTGTCGTACACGCACTTACTTTCGTATGGGGAGCTGGTGTTTGTATTTTAAAACGTTGTTATATTTTTTCAATCATATGGTGATATATTTAATAAACCAATAATGCGAGCAAATATGAAATTAACAAAGAAAGATACTGACATTGCTAAATTTGATGATGACGGTAACCACCCAGCAGCACGAACAGTGATGATTGTAACAGTATCATGATAGTAACAATAGTAATAATAATAAAACGATTATAACAGTACTGGTTATAGCAATAGTAATAATAGTGATGCTGTTAATAATGATATTGATAATAATAATGATAATGATATCAATAATAATGATAATGATAATAATAATAATGATAATAATAACAGTAATTATTTTTATAATAATGGTAATAATAATGATATTGACAATAATGAAAATAATAATAATAATGATAATAAAAAACAACATCAATAATTATAATGCTACTGATAACAATAATGATAGTAATAAAAATTATGATAACAGTAATGAAAATTACTATTTTAATAATGTTGATAATAATAACAATAATAATAACAATGGTAATATCAATAATAATGGTAATCACAATAATAATGATAACAATGATAATAATAATAATAATAATAATAATAATAATGATAATAATAATAATAATAATAATAATAATAATAATAATAATAATAATAATAATAATGATAATAATTATAATAATAATGATAATAATAATAATAATAATAATAATAAAATAATAATAATAATAATAATAAAATTATAATAATAATGATAATAATAATAATAATAATAATAATAATAATAATAATAATAATAATAATAATAATAATAATAATAATAATAATAATAATGATAATAATAATAATAATGATATAAAGATACACAACAGCAGCAACAATAATGATAATAATAATATCAACAGTACTAATAATATTATAAATGATACGGGTCCTAGCTATATTGATATTGATAATGAAAATATCAATAATACAAATAACAATGATAACAGAAACAATAGAACCGGTAATAAAGGCGATAGTGATGAATGGTGAAAAGTAATGATAGTGATGATAATGTAGAAAAGGTATGAATGAAAGTGAATGAAACGGCTT